CAAACAAAAAAAAAAACACACCACAAATTTTTTCCAATAAAGTTAAAGACCCACTGATGAAAACCCAAGAAAATTGATTATCAAACGATAAGTGTTAAAAAGATCAGCTTAGGCCTTTTAAAAGGCTTTAAAACACTTTCAAGTTGTGTTGATGGCATGAATTACTTCTGAATGGAACAACAATGAATTGACATGATCACTTTCATTAAAGAACATCACGTTTTATACTGTCAATCAAAAGGCAATTGGAAAAAGACAAAATATTTTTAAAAACACTAAAGGAGGCAAAGATAAAAAAAATTCAACATTAAAACGATTTGAGCTGATACTGACATTTGCCTGGAGTTACCCTTGACCTGTACCCTTTTACCTGGACCTAGACCGGGAACTTGAACTGGACGAGCAAGATGATGACCGTGAGGAGCCGGAGCGACTCCCTTTCTTCTCCTCACTAGCATCCAAATCGTACTTGGACAAATCTGCATCATCCTCATCATCATCCTAATAGCATAAAGAACAAAGACACCAAAAACTGTGATAAGTTCAATTATCTGCAGAAGCTCGAAGGATTTGTTCACACTGCACCCTATTACAATTAATTTTTCATATCCGATCTTTATGACTGACTGTTGCAATCAATTTACAATCGACAGCATTGTTACTTTAGCTAATAAAATTCATTTCAAACAGCAACAAATTGTAGGACCACTAACACAAAACTAGAGAATATAATCTCTTACATCAAGTTTGTATTTTGAAAGGTCTCCATCTTCATCATCGTCGTCGTCATCATCATCATCATTATTATTTTTTTTTGGTTCCTCTTTTTTTTCAGTGTCCTTCTTGCTTTTTCCACGATACTTCTTTTTTATGCGCCCAAACTGTCCATAAGACATAATTTTTAAAATTCAAGGTTATCTGTATGTATTGTGAAAAGTGCTATACAAATTGAATAAATCTGATCTTCATCTTAATATCAAGAACTGTCATTTGTGTGCACTGAAAAAAAAAAAAAAATCCCCACTGACTTCATCGTACTCGCCATCAGACTCCTCTCGCTCATTGTAGACTAAATTCTCTCTCTCATTGAACCCTCCACCATATCCTGTTAGAGACATTCATCCATAATATGACATTAACTAAAAATTCATAACTTTGCAGTCAATCTGCAATAAAAAAAATAAAATAAAAAAAAATATATATACACCTGTCCTTTCCTCCAGTTTGGCATATTTAGGAGTGTTACACATGTTGCACTCTGATCTTCTGGCCCAGTTTACATTGCCACATCTAGATTTAAAGCAAGAACAAGTTCAGATATTAATGACATTGGTATATTACAAGTAGGGATATGCCAGTATCAAATTTTTATGTTGCGATTAATTGCTAATGCTTTTATCACGGTATGCGGTATTATCACGGTATTGAAATTTAGTTTAAAAACAAGTCTAATTACAAAGGTCTGAACTATTGAGCAGCAAACAAAAATCGGCCTTTAGTTTGGATGTTCTTTCGGAACTAAACAAGAAATGGGGTGATCAGCCTCAGGAAAATATGAAAAAATGTATTGTATATATTCTTGTCTTAACTAGCTTATAGTCCAATATGGGTTGGATGGATTGGTGAATGTAAGCCAGTAAAATGCAATTCCGGTTCTGGATGGTCACTGTCCTGCAGAGTTTAGTTGCAAATATGGTTGCAATTTTCTAGTAATCCTGAAGACTTCTGTGCCCTTTGAGTGGAGCTAGAAATATCGTAATTATTAGTTCCAAGCAAATTAATGGCAAAGTGAAGTTGTTTTTACAAGTGGGAAACTTGGAATTCTAGATGATACGCAAGTTGTCAAGTTGTGATGTCAGAAAGGACGTGTCGATTTGAAACATGCTGAAAACACTCATATATAATACAGAATCTAACTGTAATCCAAATATAAAGTGAGCCTGTAAAGAACCAATGGTGTAAAAATGTAATTACTCAACTTTCACAGTTTGCTTTATGTAACAAATTTAATGTGAGAATTCGTTACAAGGAACACTTGACTCAAGCTGCGGTCACACTAGACTGAGCACGCAAAATTTCGACAGATGCTGCAACGGTTGTAATATGACGTCACACTCAACTGTGTCTTTTTAAAAAGAATTCAATATATAATACATCCAAAATGTAAAAACTCTACTCCATTTTACTGCAATCCTGCAGATTTAAAGGGGACCTATAATGCAAATTCACTTTTATGATGTGTTTGAACACAGATGTGTATCCACAGTGTGTAAACAACCAGATTTTAATGGTAAAAATACACCCACTCCTTTTTTATAATCCCCATAAATGAGCGGTTGCATATTTACCCTACTCTTCGAGTAGGGGGAGCCCTGCCCATGATTGGTGATGATCTGCCCTATTAGCATAGATCCCTGAGTGAGCCGCACACAGTCTGCCATGTTTATATCATCACTAGAGCAGCTAGTGATATGTCTCAGCTAAGTAAACGTTATGTTCTGTTGTTGGCTGTAATAATGAACATAAGAGTCTCCTTAAACTCCCGGCCTCTGAGCAGTGGATTCATTTTATTTACCTTAAGACATAAATTACGTCACAAGATATAAAAAGGGGCATAATAGGTCACCTTCAAAGTTTGTGTTCAACTTTAAATTGTATCAGTCTTCTATTGCTCATGTCTTAACATCATACAAATTCGCAGGGCAGAGTTCACCAAACTTGAACTTTGGAACACAGTGAAATTCGCATGAGCTTGTGTTTCCTGTGTCCAGCATTCACGTCTACGAATGGAAGTCAATGGAACAAAAAGTGCCATGTGACTGAACCTGCAGAGGTACGAGTTTCCCAGATGCACTTGAAGATGGCATTTGGTTCGATTTCTCTAGTGTGTGTGGATTAGGGATGGAGCTAATCTCTGTAGGACTGGGCCCATCAAAACCACAATATCATTACACTGTGTACATATATTCTGCACCATTAAGCAGGCTGAAGTTCAAATGAGAAGTCAAATATGAGTAACGTCACTGAAACAAATTTAAAAGAAATGTTGTCAATGTAGAAGGGTAAGAATGGCTGAAACATTTCACTTCCTCACACTGAACTCAACAGATACTTGAGATATTAATAATTATGAATGTGTTCATAATGGACAGTGAAAGTGTAATTAAGACATGTTATAGCAATACCCACGTTTTGCACTGCCAATCATTGGCACTGAAGAGACCTCTGCTCTTCTCAGCCAGGGTCTTTCCAATCTCTGTTCCCCCTGCTTTCATCATCTTTGCTTCAGTTGTTTTATCTGTTTAAGGAAAATTGGTTAATTAGTTTAGACTAATCATGATAAAGTACTGTAAGCATGGTGTATGTATTGATGCACCTTTTGTGACACACCCCTAATATTCAAAACATAATGATTATACAAACAATTATAATGCACTTACCCCTGCCACATCTGTTACAACTCGTTCTTCTAGCAAAGTTGACATTTCCACACCTAAAATATTATAAACACAAAACTGGTTAGGTCTCTAGATATTATAAGCATCATTCAACATTAATGCACACAAAGAACAGGCCTGATATTTTCAAACAATAGTGAGACGTTCCAGTGGTGCACACACTGAAATAGATTTATAATACATAAAAAAAAAATTTCACACTGCCCAAGGCATAGCAACTAAGTTACTAATGAAGTTAGTTAGCAGACTCGTGCACATAACTGCTGCCAGATAATCGCTTAACCTAACAATTATGAGAATGTAATTAAAAAAATGTGATTACCAGTGTTTCAGTGGAAAAAAATGAATATACCATTTAATTTTGTTAAGGAAAATGAAAAAAAAAAAAAACGCGTTTTACAGGCCCATTCACACACGATAGTCGTGTGCTAAAGCTAACAAATGCTATGCTAACAGAAGCGTGTGATCTATCAGCCAACATTAATTTTCCCAAAAGGTTCAACTTCTAAGTAATGCAAATATATTCTTATATGCACTATTGGGCTTTTAAATAGAACATTATACAGCAAGTCTTACTTTTTATCGGGACAAATCCAGTCTCCGTCGCTAACGCGAAAACTCTTTCCCGACATGTTCGTCCTCTTAGGTGCCCCCGCCACAAATCCGTCAGAGAAAGGTAGAACTGCTTATGAGTATAACACCAACACTAGCGTTTGATCCTAAAAGTATGGCAAAAACAACACTTTACAGAGTGTGAAAGAGCAAGAATCCGTTTGATACGTTTGCTACATCGAAAGGCACACGGATCGCGTCTCATGATCTAATTGGTTCCCTACCCAAGTAAGTTTCGCACATGATAGGCGGAATCCAGACGCCGAGTGATGCTGTCTAGACAGGCGGCTCGCTAGGTTTTTGAACCTCAGCCACTAGTACTAGCTTCGTTATCATTACATACGTGCAACGAAGTCTTATTAGATTAATTTCTTAAAGGATTCAGTTTGTCTGAACTACGTGTGACAGTTCAAACAGATGACGAAAACAGACCCTACTCACTCATCATTTCATTATGAGCCATTTATTTTTCAGAGGCCTCAAAAAAGAATAAAATAAGTCAATATAATAACAAATAAGACAAAATATTTTGCCCAAATGCAGTATCAAGCAACACAGTAGTAATGATATATTACTCTGTATGCACATGCTAAATAAAACTAAAGACTGATAATTAGGCTTAGGCTACAACGACGACT